GTTCATATATTTCATGTGCTTTCTATTTCTTGGGCTCCCTTACAATTAGATTGGAGCCACGTAACTAATTCTGGCCAAGGACAATGAGTGGAAGTGATGTGTATGATGTAAAAACAGTGTAAGTTCTTTCCCTCACTTTTCCTGCAGACCTTCCAGGTCCTAAATGATATACCTAGATGGAGGGCCCCCAAAGTTGAGCCAGTGATGGATTAGACTTCGCAACGATGAGAAATAATTTTCTGTATGTTGAGACACTAAGATTTGGGGTTTTATTCATTACTGCAGAGTAGTCTGCCTAGTAAAGAGATAAAGGTCCTGAAAGGGAAAAGAATGTTCTCTATAAATTTACTCATTAGAGTGAATCCTCAAGATGTTGACTAAGGGGAGGGATGAAGCAGGGAGTCTGTTTAAAGACACCATAGCAACTACAACAACCTCTGTACTAAGAATCAGGCATATTTTGGCAGAGAGGCAGCCTCTAGAATAACCACAAGATTATTCTAAAGCAAACAGAGAAGACATTTTTATAAGAGCTCCCTTTTATGGGCTGATATTTAATATGCTGTTTTCATTTGTTAGTGAATATTTACATAACACAAAAGGAGAGTAATGCAAGAGGAAGCATTACCCAGCCTGCCTTACCACCCCCACTCACACAGCAAATATTCAAAAATTTCCAGATTAGAATGTCCTGGGATCTATGGTTTTACTTTAAGAAATGTAACCCTATCCTATCTTAGGGATGGGGTTATCCAGGATATAGTAAATTCTTAGCAATTGCTATAATAATTACATAGAGTACATTTTAAAAAGTAATAAATCTCAGAGCATCTGATCAAAATTAACAAACTCCCTAGTCCACAGGACTCTTGAGTGGAAATAAAGCATCTCAGAGAGAGGAAAGTTTCAGCCCAGAGTTGACCTTTTTCAGGTACTGCTAACATTGTCAGGATGCTAACTGCTCTTCTCATCTTAACTTCTCCATGGAGTGATGAGGTGGTTATTTGACCTTTTACAGTCAACCAATAACACCATACAGATGTTGCATAATACATGAGAGGCACTGGGGGCAGTATCCTCTTACATGGACCTTAAAGACCATTCTCAGAGTCTTTGACCTTGTTTACTAAATGTGCCAGCATAGTTTACAAGAGGCTGAGTCACATCATCTCTTGCCGAAACTATCTCCCAGCCCTGTCCATTCTCCCCAGTTTCCAATGTCCCCATTATGCAACAGCTAGAGCCAGCTTTCCAAACCAGAATCCAAACATGTGTCCTCCCTGCACAGTGCTTTTAGTTTCTCCCCACTGCCCTCAGGATCAAGTCCAAACTCCTTAACACACCACCCAAGGTCTTCCACCCTCAGCCTCATCTCACTTCCCCTCCCTGCCTTGAACTGTTATTCACCGGCCTTCAAATATGCCAGCCTTTGCACACCTCCCTTTTTGCACATGCTGCTCCTCTCTCCTCCTTTCTCTTCTCCAATTAGAAGTTCATCATTAAGATGCATTTGACCTTTCTATTCCCAGCACTTAGCACAGACAGGCACATCATAAGCTCTGAAGAAATATTTGTTGAATGAATAAATTTAAAAATGTGCACTGCACCCTGGCTGGTTTGTTCAGCTCAAGGACCAAAGAGTCACGGGTTCAATTCCAATCAAGGGTAATACCTTGGTTACAATTCAGTTCCCGGCCCTGGTCAGGGTCATGCGGGAGGCAACCAATCGATGTGTCTCTCTCACACTGGTGTTTCTCTCTCTCCTCCCACCACCCCCATCTGAAAATAAATAGAAAAATATCCTCGGGTGAGGATTTAAAAAATATATATATATACACTGCAAAAAGTGTAAGTGTGTAGTGTCTCATCCAAACCTTTACACATAACAGAAACTCAATAACCACTTGTTGAATAAATTAAGCTCTTTATAATTGGCCCAGTTCTTGGTTGAGCAAGAAGGGATTCTCTAAGGCTCTTTCACCAACATTCTCAATGACCACAAAGGAGGAAAATAATTCTGAAAGTCATGTGTTCACAACAAGCTGTCCCTGAACATCCAGTAGAATCCAAGTTTTAAAGGCTAAGTAATGCATCTCTTTAATAAAATGAATCAGCAATGTTTATCGTTGTTTTTATGACTTGTTTCAATAGCCACCATACTGGACAGTACAGATACAGAACATGCCCATCATCATAGAAAGTTCTATTGGACAGCTCTGCTCTAGAAAGAACAAAAAGGCCAGCATTGCTGGGGTGGGATGAGAGTAATAGATGAAGTCACAGAGTTTAAAGAAGCACAATTGGGTGGGAGCTTGATGGTCATTGTAGAAACTTCAGCTCTTATTCTGAGTGAAACAGGAAATTTGGAGGGTTTTGCCAGAGGAGTAAGTTGATCTGACTTGACATCTAGAAGAATCACTTTAGGTTATTATTTGTGTAATAATCCAAATGAAAAAATGATCAAAGGTGGACAGGGGTGGTGGCTGTGGAAGTGGTGAAAAGTGCTCAGGTCCTGTGTGAGTGTAGAAGCTAGCACCAACGGGTTATGCTGGTGAAAATGATGTGGGGTGTGTTGTGATAAAGGTGATTACGTTAGCAAAGAGGTCGGTGTTTGGGGCATGGGAGAGGCTGAGGCCAGGTTTTGACTGATTCGACTTTGAGATGACAACAGCACAACTGAAAATGTTCATGTTCAATGGTCCATCAGAGAAATGAGAGCTCAGATGAGAACAGAACCTGAATATAGATATGAGACTCATCAGCATGCAGCTAAGAGATGAAGCAGGAATGGAGGTCGAGAAGAGTTCTAAAGTCTGGCCCTTGAATGGGGGGTAAGGGGGAAACATCTGTAATAGTTCCAACAATAAAGATAAAAAGAAATAATTAATTTTAAAAATGTGGTATATAAAAAAATTTTTTTTAATAAAAAACACATAGTCTGGCCCTTGAAGAACAGCCACGAGAGGGAAGTGGGTAAGGCAAGGAGACAAACAACAAATTATCAGAGCCTCCGAAGAATGAGTGTCCACAGTCAAATGTGACAGAGATGCCAGAGTGTTGAAGAGAAAGGATGGTGCTCAGGAAATGGACACATAATTTGGAAGGGCCTTGCTCTGTTGTGTGGGGGGACTAGGGGACAATGGAGGAGAGAAGCTAGGTTAAAATGGTTTCAGTGAGAACAGAGGAATGGGATGGACTACTGTTAATAAGGGAGAGTCTGTAAACTGACATTTCTCAGTACTTACAGGTAGTTTCTAAAACAATCATTTAATTTGACCCAGTCAAATGTTAGTGTCATTTGTGTTAAATGTCTTCTGACAAACTTAATATACTTTTTAACATTCAGAGTTTATTTGGGCCACAGGGCAATATTATTATTATTATTATTTTTGTATGAGGTCGTTTAAAAAGGATAAATACATGTATTAAGATTTGTTATTCTCAACCTTCTGAGACTAGGTAGCAAGTAGGCACTTTTAAAGGTGTGTTTTGGGGGTGGACCCAAGGCTTTTTTGATAAAGAGGTAAATTTTAATTTCCTGCAGTCTTGAGAAAAAATAGTCAGTACTGGTTCTTTAAAAGTGGACAATGCAGGTCTGGCCAGTGTGGCTCAGTGGTTGAGCGTTGACCCATGTACCAAGAGGTCACCTGTTCGATTCTGGGTCAGGGCACATGCCCAGGTTGTGGGCCCCATCCCCAGTGGGGGGCATGCAGAAGGCAACCAATCAATGTTCTCTCTCATCAATGTTTCTATCTCTCTTTCCCTCTCATTTCTTCTCCCTGTAAAATCAATAAAGAAAAATAAGAAATAAAAAAGTGGACAAAGGGGGTAAACACTAAACGCCAGGAAGGAAGGCTAAGGAGAAAGCTGTAGCACTGAAGTTCCCACCCACCCAGGAGCTCTGATGAAAGGGTGAAGGAGGAGAAAGCCCAAGGGACTCAGGACAGCAGCCAGTTGCAATTTTCTTGGTGGAATTCTAGAAACAAGCTGATGTACACTAAAAAAAAACCCTGAGATCTGACAAGGAACTTTATGTATGATTGAATCCTGTCTCTCCCATGTAACAAGTGAGGTACTGGGACCCAGAGAGGTAAAGAAATGGCCCCAGGTTATTCAGCTAGCTCTGTGTAGAACCAGACCTAGAACCTAGGGGTGCTGATATCCTGTCGCCAGCTGTCTGCCTCACCATTCTACTGGACATTAAGAGCGGAGTTGTTCTACTTAAGACGACGGACCAAATGAAAAGCAAATTCAGCACTAGACTTCTGCTTTTTGTGTGGGAACAAGTAATGGGAGTCTGTGTGGGGCTGGGCATTAGAGACTTGAACAATGCTCTGGGTTTGATGACAGAACACTGGCCTCTTAGAGACACCCTGGCAACAGGCCTTCTGAAACCTGCCTCAGTATTGAAGCTGGGCCTACGTGCCATGCTGACTGGCACACCAGTAAAACCCGCAACGCTGACAGGTGGCCATTTCACTCACTTCTGGGTAATAAATACTGGGTGAATTTTTATAAAAATCTATTCTGATACAAACCCTGGGTATCCTCATAGTGAGAGATTTGTGGAGAAGCAGGAGGAGTGTAGTAAAAAATAATTCGAGATGGCGACAGGGGGTGGATTGCTGGCGGAAGGGATGGGAGGGAGCCTGGGTGGGGGGGGGGGTTGACCATCGGACCAGTGGCAGATAGCAGGTCTTTCCCGTTGCTAGAGCTGCCGGCGTCCTTGGTTATCACTAGAGGGATTGCTCTCTCTAAGGCTGCACTGCAGTTCCCCATCCCCAGCGCCGCCTGGCGTCAGGAAAGAAAAGGGCGCCAGCAGACACCTGCCAGTCCTTCCTTCCAGGCAATCCCCGCAGGAGGCTGCGTCCGGGTTGGAAGCCACAACCGCAGGGGCTTTGCAAAGCTGCCACCCCCGACGGCAGGTTAAGAAACTCCTGCCGAGGGTCGTGTAAGGAACTAGAGGGAGCGAGCCCCGGGGGTCTCCCACTCCGACTTACGTTGTAGTCCCTAAGCCAGCGCTCTAGGTTGTCGTGCATCGTTCGTAAGGATTCGTTGGAGACCAGTTTCCTAAGGTTTTCTGCCATCGCTCGCTTTTCCACTCGGCCCAGGTTCTGGGAGATGGAGACTTGGGGAGGACGAGTTGGTGACCTCCGCAGGACTGCGGGGTGATTATTGGGGAGAGTGTTATATTCCTTAGGGGCTCAGAGCGCGGCTGATGTTTCCATCCTCCCCCTCGGGTGGGACCACCGGGCAGGGTTCGGGAAGCCGAGGGGAGGTGCCCTGGGCCACAGCCGCCGCGCCTCATCCGCTGCCGGCGCGGTCTCCTGGCTCCCCCGTGGCCGCTGCGAGCCCAGCCCATAAATACCCCCGCGATTATTAAACAAACCTTGACGTGGGCGGGCGGCTGCTAGGGACTCGCGCTGAGGGCGCCGAGGCAACGCAGGTGTCGCGGATCAGCCCCCACAACATCCTCCGTCCACCTCCGGCCCCACAGGGCTCCTGCTTTCCTCTGGGGGTCCCGGGCACCCTCCGGAGCGTAAAATGTTGCTGTTCCTGCTGTTGTTCCTCCTCCTGCTGCTACTGCTGCTGCTGCTGCTGCTCCTGGCTGAAGGCGAGCTCCCCTGTTGCCACTGAGACTCTGGGTTGAGCCACAGGATGCAGGACGCCAAGACCAGATGGGCCCGCAGTGTGGGATGGGGGCCTGGAGCATCATCTGAGGGCCTCATATCTAGAAAAAGCAAAGGTTATTTCTCCATAGAAGTTTTGGGTTAGAGAAGCACATTTGGCTCCTTCTTTATTCATTCACTTCTCAGGCCTTTAATTCTTCATCTTAACACCTAGGGCTTACCTGTATTGAAACTTGCTTTAACTAAAATTTCAATTCTTCCTGTTTCGATCTTTTGCAATGTTCCAAGGCCCACAGGGTGGGTGCCCAAGTCAATAGACATTAGCTCCAGGATGTTCACAAATTGAAGTTAATCCCTCAGGATTGCACAAGATTTGGTAGTATATTTTTCGAATTACTGAGCACTTTAAAGTTTTATTTAATTCTGAATTCTCTAATTGAGACTTTGTGAAAGTTCAGGCCTGGTTCGACACTATTTCAAAAGGGTGTGGGAAGCCACAGTGGATAGTTTGAACTACTTAAGAAATGAAACCATTTCAACCTTCTTTAAACACTTTATAAACCCTTATTTTATACACCATCAAATAAGGTGCCCACTGCAAATCATCCTTATCTATTCATTAAAACAGTAGGAGTGGAGAGGGGCCTCAACTTGCTAGTTTAATTCAGTTCCATTTCCTTAGGTACTTGAAATTAAATGAACATTGCATATGTCCAAGTACCATAAAATTCAGAATTTTCACTACCTCTTGTTTTTATTTCTCTAATTACAGTGGTTTTACTGTCCTCTAATAAAAAAAAAAAAAAAAAAATGAGAGGCTCGTTTCTGGGGCTTGTGTTCCTACTATTTTCTGTAGACCACAAAATAAGGGTTGCAAGGGTACATAGTACATGTTATTTCATCACAGTAGAATAATTACTAAAGTAAAAAAAAAAATCACAAACATCCCATTAAATATTTATCAGACACTCTCTTCCTTTATTATTTTTTTAATTGTTTTTTCTTTATTGATTTCAGAGAGAGAGGTAGAGATAGAAACATCCATGAGAGAGAACACAGATTGGCCGCCTCCTGCATGCCCCTCACTGAGGATGGGGCCCACAATACAGGCACGTGCCCTGACCGGGAATAGAACCAGCAACCTCTTGGTACATGGGTTGATGCTCAACCACTGAGCCATACTGGCCAGGTGACACTCTCTTCCTTTAAAAAATATAAATAAATAAAGGAAAATTAAGGAAATGGAGAAAAACCTCACAAATTTGTTCATTTGGCACCAATTTTTTCATATTTCAATAGGCAATTGGAATCTTGAACAGTCCTATTTACACATTCATAAAAAACAAGTTGGAATATTATGTCAGAATAGGGATTAAATCCTCTTCCTTGCTGTGTGTACTTTAACCTCTAAACTTTGGTCTCATCATCTTTAAGGAGGGATAACAGTTCTTATTTCACAGAATTATTATGAGACTAAATAATTCATGTGAAGTACTTAGCACAGTGCTTGGTATATAATGTCAGTGCTTCATAAATGCTATGATCACTAGTACTACAAATGTAGATCACAGTATTATATTTAATGGAGAAAATTAAATTGGAAACAATCTAAATTTTCAACAACAGGGTAATGGTTGAGCAAATCATTTAATGAAATGTTGCAAAATATAAATCTTATGACCAAAGAATATCTAGTATCTAGGAATTCTAACAATATAATGTGAAGTAGAAAAAGCAGGACACCAAATTTTATATATAGTCTCATATTATGCAATATGAAACCAAGGTATGATTATGGTGACTTTAATTTGCTCCTTTATACCTTTCTGATTTTCCAATTTTCTATCATGAACACAAATTGTTTTTATGAAAACTTATTTGAACACAAAGTTACCCCAAAACTTTACCATCCTCAGAAAAATATTAGCCAAAATATCAATATTTAATCTGACTCAAAACAGAATATGTTTTGATTAAATGTCCATATTACTAATTTAATAATTAAACTTATAGAGTCTTAGGATAGAAAGATCTTTGAAATTTCTTAAGAATATGCTATTGGATGTTATTTATCTCTACAGTGCTCTAGCCGCACAACTAGATTTCAAGATCTTTAAGGCCTGTAGTCATTTCTTGTACCTCGTGGTTTTCTTAGAACTCTGGAGTGTGGTGGTACATAGTAGAAACGTTTTATTAATAACAAAGAAGCATAGAACTCAATGGCTCAAAACAAAGGAAATGTTTTACATATTCATTATTTACCCCCACTACTTCCAAAAAAAGGATCTGAGATGCAGGGGTTGGGAACCTTTTTTCTGCCAAGGGCCATTTGGATATTCATAACATCATTCTCAGGCCATTCAAAATTATCAACTTAAAAATTAGCCTGCTATATTTGGTCAGGCTAATTTGGTAGGGTGTGTGATGTTAGCTGGTATTGATTTGTTGGGCCTTATATGGCCAAGGGCCGGACGTTCCTCACCCCTGAATGACTTGTAGAAAAATATTATTGTTATTTTTTAATGGAAAAAGCAAACATGCCCCAAATGTAAGCCTATGTACCAAGATCGAGCCATATTTCACAGTTATTTCTGAGGTTTGTGGAAGCAAGGCAGAAAAGGAATGCTATGCTTATTGATTTTTAAAATATACATTTATCTGTTTTTTGAATGCAGATGCATTTTCCTGGTACTAATTCTAAAGTATGTTTATCCTTTTTCAAAGAGTATAGAACAACAGAGATGAAGGTGTCTTTAATACTCCTTTCTTAACAGAAAATATAGAAACAATCTTGATATGATTGTTTCTTACAGTCACCTTCGATCAATGCCAGGGGTTTATACTAGGACACGTCATCAGAGAGAGTCATAAACAATTGACACCCCATTTCTTAGCTCTGGTGATGTTACTTGCTATAAACTTAGAAATTCCATACCTGTAGGAATAAGTGGACATCCTCATAAGTGCCCTTACAGATGATCCCCTCCTCAGAGCTTCTATGGGTGCTGGATAGCAATCAAAGAAAGAAAAGGCTGGAGCCTGGAGTGCTCTTTCCAATCAGAAAAGAATCCATGTGTTTCAAATTATAAGCGTGCAGCCAACAAGGCAGAGGTTCTGTTCAGAATGTTGGTAAGCTTACTTTTGTATAAATGTGGAAGAAAACGTCATGTAAATAAAGGTTCTATTTGGAGAATATTTGACACTCTAATTTTATCCTAATTTGATTGTTTTAGGATATTATCAACTAGGCAATTCTTTGGAAAGAAAAGGTAAAAAGCAAACCTTTCTTTTGTGATACACTGTTCGGTATCTTGGAAAAGTTGAAAGAACAATTAGAACGTGGGCACTTTTGCTTTATCTCACACTCTGCCTATAGTGGTTTTCATGACTTCACATAACATTTTAATCACTCTGAGCCTCATTTTTTTTGTACCTATGTAATAATTTAAAAAACATAGACTAAATGAGTTCTAAGATCTCTTGCAGCTGTGAAATTTCTTTAATGCTAGTTTTGTTTTTTAACATACTGATTAAGATTCAGTTTGAGTCAAGCCGTGATTTTGAGAGCATTAGCTAATCATTAAAAGCTAATCATCTTTTTTTTAGTACAATCTATTTTATTGGAATAACTAATACACCTAGTCTCTGAGAAATAAACAAGGTATTTCTCCATAGTTGAACTTTAAATCAACTTAAACCCAGCTCAAACTTACAAAAATCTTCCTAACTCTTACCCCAACCACTCAGAGCTCATTACTCTCATCTTTATGTTTTCTGTCTTTAACTTTTGGACATGTTAATACTGTTGTGATCATCACAGGATATTGTACTTATTTGTCTGCTTCCAATATAAGCTTGTGAGCTTCTTGAAGAAAAGATGCTTATTTAGCTTTATATCTTGAGCACAGCAACTGGTACATTCTAGGCCCTCTATATAAGTTTGTTAAACTGAATTGCTGAGGAGGAGGAGGAGGAGGAGGAGGAGGAGGAGGAGGAGGAGGAGGAGGAGAAAAGGAGGGAAAGAGGGAGAGAGGGAGAGAGGGAAGAAGAAAGGAAAGAGATGACTGGCTCCTTTGTATTTGATGTCACAATCCCTTTGAGTTTGAAGAAAGCAAATGCAATAGCTATCATGTTCTATGGCATCATAATTCTATCACTCAGCCAGAAGAAGCCATTTGTTCTAGAGAAGAGTAATGTGTCAAACATCTGGATAAAATAGGCTTTCTGAAAGTCCTTAGTTTTTGTCTACTCTGAATTTTACCTACATTGGTCAACTGGAAAGATTTTTAATTTGGGATTTTAAGAAGCCAATGAAAGATGAACAGAATCCATTCAGTGAACGGAGAGCTACGTATGTAGTCTCATGCTACACCAAACAAGTACATGGAATGAGCTAAAGGACACATGGTGGGATCCTTATCAGAATTTCTAGTTCTTCTTCACTCAGGACAGTGTGG